CAGATGAAGAAACTTTTTCAGATTATTATGGATGTACATGTTTTGGTTACATAATTTTCTTTGTAAGGTTAAAGTCAGAATTACAGATGTTTCCTTCACTCACAAAGTGTGCAATAGACGTGCAATGTACACACCGGGTGGGAATTTACCCATCTCCTTCTCCCCCTCCCCCTTGCTTGAATTTAATTGAGTTTTGTGTCTAATGAGCACACAGGTCTTAACCAACTAGTTCCAATTTAGTATGGAGTGCACGGGGTGTTTGTTTTTCCACCCTCATGATACTGAAGAGAATGGTCTCCAATTCCATCCCAGCTGTTAAAAAAGATATTAGATGTCCATATTTTTGTAGCTGAGTAATATTTCATAGTATACATACACCACAATTTAGTAATCCATCTGTGTATTGTAGGAAACTTGGGCTGTGTCCACATCTTTACAATTGTGAATTGTGCTGCTGTAAACATTCAACTGCCAAGTGTCCTTAAGATTATATGTCTTTTTTTTCTTCCTGTGCGATTGCAGGATCAAATGGTAGGCCTATTTTTGAATCTTGGAAGAATCTCCATACTTCTTTTATAGAATTGGAGTATAGTAGCTGATTTCAGTCCTACCAGCAGTATACGAGTGTTCCTTTCTCTCCGCATCTATACCAGCATTTGCTGACTTGGGACTTGATGATGTGAACCATTCTCCCTGGGGGTGAATGATATTTCCATGCAGTTTTGATTTGCATTTCCCTGATGAGTAGAGATGATGAGCATTTTTTCATGTGTTTGTTGGCCATCAGTCTACCTTTGTAAGAAAAGTTTCTGTTCATGTCTCTTGCCAATTTTTTTTTTCTTTGCAGTTTTTGGTCGGGCCTGGGTTTGAACCCGCCACCTCTGGCATATGGAGCCAGAGCCCTACTCCTTTGAGCCACAGGCACTGACCACCTGCCAAATTTGTAATGAGGTTCTTTGTCCTTTGCTTGTTGATTGACTTGAGTTCTTTACAGATGCTAATTCAGTGGCCATTAGGGCAACTTACTTGAGCTCATTAAATTAATAAAGGCTTAATCTGGAATTTAGACCAGGGTCTTTCCCATTCTAAATGTATGTTCCTTCTGCCTTTCTTTTACAACTTTTTCTTTGTAGTATTTTTTTAGTTTTATTTTTGTTTTTTACCCTGCTTTTTAAAGTAACTCTGCAGGTAATGAAGAAATTACCTTCAATACTGATGGAATAAATGCAGAGCCCCCCAAAATGATGTTACTAAAAACGTCTCATCTGAATGGACAAGTACTTTTTGGATTTCTTTTTTAGGCAAACTTTGTCTACCTTGAATTTTATGTAGTCTCTCATCAAGGTGGCCCACATTCCAAGCTATAGTAATGTATAACTGTCTCTATCTAAAAAGCAGTTCTTTTAGTCAGAAGCTAAGTTTTTATTGATCTGTCTATTGCAAAGATTTTTTTTTTAAGCAACCTGTGACATTGATGTATGTATCTTGTGACTGGCAGCAAATATCCACCCAAACAAAGCTTCTAATCAGAAAATACTCCTTTGTCTGCATGCAGCTTTGATTACTGGTTACTGTGACATGTAACCCCACCAGCATGAATTACACTATTCATAACAGGAAATCAAAACTGTGCAAACATGAGAGAATCAGTTTGCAAACACTGTATGTACTAGGTCTCTGTGTTAGTATTGCATTTCTACTATAAGCTACCTTGTTCTTTAACTTTGTCATGATATCAAATACTTTGATATTTGATATACTGAGGCTCACTTTGTAATGAGATGGTGAAACTTCTTGTCCTATGCTATAAATATATATGAAGTCATGGATTCCTTTTATAATTTCCTAGCCTCTAAGATAAACAGTGTTTCAAGCATCTCTCCCTATTTCATCCTAACAACCTCCTGCCCCCCCAAAATCTCATTAACTTTATTATTTCTCATTTAATAGAAAAATGCTGTATCAACACATAAATATATAATTCTCTTGCATCTTTAGTCATTTCACCATATCTAATATGCACTAGATGTGCATTCTCTAAAATGAGAAGTTGTCCAAATTTCAGTATGTATTTTCTAGGATGCCTTTAAAATAAGCTCGTGTTCCCAAGATAGTGAGTACTTGGCAACATTGTCTAGAATGATTATTTCACTCTGGAGATTGCTAAATGCCCATTCATGCTAACAGTCTCAACCTACATATTTGCTTTTTGTGAGTGATCCTCCCATATCCTCCATTCTTTGGCCAAGTAGACGCTCAGTCTATTTTCCTGTAATACTTCTAACAGAGTATTTACGACACCATTTGGTTTTCTCATAATAAATGGTAGTAACTTCTCTTGATGGTCTTCAGATAGGCAAGTGTGGTGAAGCTCAGATCAGTATGACATTTAATGTTCTCCATAAAGTCCAGTATTACAGCCCTGATTGCCATGAAATCGTGGATTCTTAAGAAGGCCCAGAAGCAGCCCTGTGACCCAATGCTAAGGCCCCTTCTCTCTTTGTACTTACTGTTTGACTTAGCCTGAGACTCCTCCAAGCAGAGACTTTCTAGGCAAGGATAGAAATCAGGAGAGTGGGAGGGCAGCCCAGAAAGAGAAGCACCACACCTCTGCTATGCACGCAGGGTATGTGCTCAGAAAGCAGGCCTGTGGGTCAGGTGCCTCCCTGACTCCTGCTTGAAAGTCAAGTAACCAGGAATACTCCAAAAGCTTTGACAAATTAGGAAGAACCCAGTACCTATGTACTTTTAAGCAGCCATCTGAACTTCCATCGGAAACAATGGCACCATAGCTGGGAAAGGGGCCAGAATGGAGAATGAGAATTTCAATTTCTCCTGAGTTGGCACGGTGTAAGATTCACTGAATTGCTGAAGATCATTCATGGAAAACATCCACTTTATCGGGTTAAAAATAGGTTCCCATAGTAATAGATGACACAGATGAAAAGACCCAAGGGTTTGGGACTTTTTCCTCACAACATTTGCATATTCACATTTAATTTAGGAACGTTAACCATCTCTTTTAATGACTCTGCTGTTTCATCAATATATTTCACTGATTTGTTGACAAATAAGTTAACATAGTTTCACATTTCAGTTAAAATAGTTCCCATGTAACCAATAGAATTTTTGCAATAGATTCAGAGAAGCTCCCTTTTCATTCAAAACTTGCCCCCAAAGAATATTTTAAATAATATGCTTATGTTTTGATAATTATTAGCAACTTATTTTAGGGCTTTGATCAGGAAAGACTTAAAATAATTGTCTCTATTTTTAGATATATATCTGGTACTCTAAAGTCATATTTTTGTTTCAGTACTCAAGAGTGATTGATTCTACATGTGGTAGGCACATTTTTAATATAACTTAAAAATAGAATATGCATGTCCATCATATTTTGTTTTGGAATCTTGGCAATTATTTGTATTATAAAAAATTGAATTTAAAAACCCCACAGGTCCTTATGAAAAAAATTTAGGCACCTTGCAATCTTAAGATTGTTCCTGCCACAGATTAACACAAAGTCTCATATGAGATGGATAACAGACCTATATGTGAGAAGTAAACTACTATCACAAAGTTGTAAAATTCATACACATGCTTTAAAAATGTTTATTATTCCACTGAAATACAATATTCATTCACACATTTTTCTATAATTGTCTTTGGTAAAAAAAAATTGCATATACTTACAAAGTAACAATGAAAGAAATCTCACTGGAACAAAGAGCTCCATCATGTATGAATTTTTTGTTGTTAATGACATATCAGATTAAAGAATAGGTCCCTTTGAAAAGTAAAAAATGTTTCATGTTTAAGAATTTCATTTTCCTTAATATAAATAATTTAAAGTTTTCATATAATAAAATGCCAGTTGATTCAGAGAATATTAAATAGTTGCCCCATGAAAGGGAATTGTCTGAAGCGATGAATAGTGGCCAGAGCCAGTGCATTTAACAAATGTGTTCATCCTAAAGCAAGAACGACCCTCAAATTACTACACAGACACTTGGCCCTGATCTTCCTCCTGTGGGAAGATATTTAAGTAATCCAGGTATAATTCAGAAGACTCAGCAGATATTATCACCCATCATAGCTAAAGCTCTTTTCTCTTTCAGGAAACTAAAGGGTGTTAGAGATTTGTCCTCAGGGTTTTGTTAGGGTTTGTGGAATCGTATAATTCTGAAAATACATTTTCTATCTGAATGACGTAGGATGTACAGCTTCACAGATTTAGAAAAATAGCTGGACAGAAGCATTAGAATGAAGCAGATGCGGGAACAAGTAGTCAGTGTTCTGGCTTACCTCTGAGAATTCAAACAAGAACATTAAACTATCACTTGAAGCACTGAAAATTGTATTTACACCAACGACACGAATTCCAGAATATCTACATTCAAAGATAAGAGCTGGGAAATATTGAAAGAAATAGTTTCTATGTATTTCCCGCACAGGAAGACTTAATGTTTCTCCATCAGCTTTTTAGTGGCGTTTTCTTTTAGATGAAGTTGTGGGGTGAGATGCACTGTCTGTATCAGCAGCAAAGAGAACCCACCCTCCAACAAAGGGCTTCATTAGTGCAAGTTCATTTGGCTATTTACAAACATAGATGATCGGGCATTTAAAAGCAATTTATGAAGGGATGTATTCATGGGAAGCTATTCTAATATCTTTACTCTACCTGGCAGGGTCTCTAGAAAGTAAACAAACAACAGTCTTGTTTTAGCTTAGCATTTAAAATAAAGTTCGCCTTCATTATGGACAGCAAAAATAATTATCCACTTCGTAAATTGTAGTACAACTACTGCAATTAATTAAGTACTTTAAAGATTTCTTTTCATTAATCCACAAAATTCATTAGGATATATAGGAAATATATATGTATTTTAAATAGCACTTTAAAACATACCTTCACTGGTAACTATTTTTATATATATTTAAATTAAAAATAGAACATATAAACATTCCTTCATATACACATGAGCTATTTAAAAAACCTAAGTACCCTTCACATGTAAACATTTTTTTAAGGAAATATGTATAAAAGAAGAGAATTTTTTTTCATCCAGATGAGAAAATAAAGATATTTTCAATATCTTATTCAACAGAAGTCTTTCTCATTTTTTCAGCTAATTCTTTCCTTACTTCAATGTGTTTTTCTAAATTTTGCACTTCATGTGGAAGATTGATGTCCCAAACAGTCAAGCAAGATTGAATCTCTAGAAAAAGAAACAAAAAAAGAATCATGATTCAAAGATCTACCATAAAACATTTTTATTTTATTTCAACTTGGTACATTTATTATTTTGATATATTAGTTGACTTAGACAAATGTGTGTGTCTATATATATATATATATATATATTTGATCAATTAGTTCCCATTTAATAGTGAGTACATGTGGTGTTTATTTTTCCATATATGGACAAACGTATACACTACGTATAAATACAGCTATAAATAGTGCACCAAATTATTGCTAGTTATAAAAAACTATACTTGGAAAATGTCTATAACAGATTATAGAAACTACTAAATTTCATAAGAAGTGTAAACATTTAATTGCTTATCATTTTAGTTTCTAAAAGAAATAGTTTTTTCAAACACTAGTAAAAATTAGACTGGAGAACACTTAGAGAACTAAAAATAGACCTGCATTTGATCCCATAATTCTTCTGCTAGGTATATATCGAGAAAACCAAAAATCACACTACAATAAAGATATTTGTACCAGAATGTTCACTGCAGCCCGATTCATAATTGCTAGGTCATGGAAGAAGCCCAAGTGCCCATCGACTCATGAATGGATCAATAAATTGTGGTATATGTACACCATGGAATACTATGCAGCCATAAAGAAAGATGAAGACTTTACCTCCTTCATGTTTACATGGATGGAGCTGGAAAACATTCTTCTTAGCAAAGTATCACAAGAATGGAAGAAAAAGTATCCAATGTACTCAACCCTATTATGAAACTAATTTATAGCTTTCATAGGAAAGCTATAACCCAATTTTAGTCCACGAATATGGGGAGAGGGGAGAGGGGGTGGAGGGAGGGTGATTGGTGGTATCACACCTATGATTTATCCTATAAGGGTACATGTGAATCTTACTAAATGTAGAATATAAATGTCTTAACACAACAACTAAGAAAATGACATGAAGGTTATGTTAACCAGTTGGATGAAAGTATTTCAAATTGTACATAGAAACAACACACTGTACCCCATGATAGTATTAATGTACACAGCTATGATTTAATAAAAAAATACATTTAAAAAAATTAGACTTCATGTGGAAATAGATAAGTTGTAAAAAAAATTCATATTTAGTTTAAGCTTGAGCTAGTTCTCAATTGATAGTACCTGATAGCTCAACTTCCCTGAAAAATAAATGTCATGTTAATATTCCTAAATCACTGAAACTTAATTTTGAGAATTTACAGCTAAATTACACTATAAATAAACTACCAGTTAAAATTACTGAAAGTATCATATGAAATATTTACAATAACTTTATAAAACTTAATATGCTACTATCATTCATATTTTTGCACTGTTTGAAATACAGTATCCCACTGAATATTACCTCTTTTTTTTTTTTTTTTTGAGACAGAGTCTTATTGTGTCACCCTCAGTAGAGTGCTATGGAGTCATAGCTCACAGCAATCTCCAACTCCTGGACTTAGGCGATTCTCTTGCCTCAGCCTCCCGAGGAGCTAGGACTACAAGCACCTACCACAATGCCCGGCTATTTTTTGTTGCTGTTTGGCTGGGGTGGGGTTTGAACCCACCACCCTTGGTATATGGGGCTAGTGCCCTACTCACTGAGCCACAGGCACCACCCTGAATATTACCTTTTTGGTGTTGTGTGCCTTCACTACTTTTCCGGTTGTACCCCAAAACCAGCACAGCATTTTTAAGGCTTCCTTTAAAAATAAAATACAGGAGTTTTCTGTTAAACAATATAATAAACTAGACTGCAAAAAGTACAGTTGTTAATATTTTAAGAAACAAATACCTTGGAACTAAATTTATAATTTTCAAAGACACTGCATCAATTCATATTGACATATGATAGACAAGCAATTTTTTGACATAAGAAAACCTGTGATCTATTCCCTGATATAATTTGTAATTATGTTGAGTCTGAGAAAACAGCTTTACCTTTCCATAAAATAGGCTTAACATTTATATATTCCTCCCCTGCCAAGTTATAATATTAAACGAGATAACGTGTACAAAATGCTTGCTTACCATAGACATACATGTGAACATCTGAATGGAGAGTTGGGTGGCTGGATATACTGACATTTTATGAGAAAATTCTATTTTAAGTCATTCATTGATTTATTCAACAGATAGTCATAAAAGTCTTCTATACTAGGCCTAGACTAAGTGCTGGGAATCAAGGCGTACACAGAAACATGGGTATCCAACCCTTGTGGAGTTGATGTTCTAGTGAGATTGACATTAGTGGGAGAAAGAAAAGATCATGACTGTGATTGACATCAGTGGGGGAAAGAAAAAATCATGACTGTGACCAGTGCTGCCGCTAGAGAGGCAGGGAGACAACTTTGACCTTGTCAGTGTTGATTTATCTGAGGTTTTGACACCTGAGTTAACTAAGCAAGAAGGTCGACTGCGTTAGCTAAGCAAAGAAGGTCCACCAAGCAAAGAAAGAAACAGCACGCAAGGCAGGAGAAAGCACAGTAATTAAAGGGAACTAGATGCTCATTTAGACCAGAAAGAACTGGGAGAAATCTGGTAAATGACAGAAGCTGGACAGGGAGGCCAAAGCCACTAGGCAGCGTATTGTAGACTCTGTTTAAATCTGTCTTTAAAGTCAAACAGAACCCATTGAAATTCTACTACAGTATCAGTGATCGAACATCTATTTGGGTCTCCAAAGTATATTCAATCTAAATTAGAGAACGTAAAGCTCTTGGTAGAATAAAACCAGGGAGACCCCCCCACACACACACTGTAGATAGGCCTCCTATGCTGCTTGTGTGGCCAAACATCCTGACAGCAAATAATCATTAACAGTATCTACTTCTAACCCCTTCTGAGTAACTCGGACATCCATCCGTGAAAAATAAGGGAAGGGGCTTCTGTTCTTCCTTAACATATGCTTGCAAAAGAATTCTAGTTTTACCTCATGGTCAAACATTTTATTACTTATTTGTTAAAGTTATGTAAACTGTAGTTTTGCAGAATCGAAGCCCACAGTCACACTTTTGTGAACAATGCAATATGATATTATTATTTTCTACAATAATTTATCATCAAAGGAAGGCACTGAAGTTTATTTGTGCAGAAAATATATTTTGTGGGCCATCATGATCTCTTCATATGTAAATAGAAACCAGGAACAAAAATAGACATAAAGGTTTGAGTAAAACTTAGGATTTTTCAATATTTGTACACTGTCGAGTTCAGCATATATCACTGTAAGAATACAAATTTGTTTATCGAATGAAAACTGAAATGAGATTTTTTAACAAGGGGGAAAAGTCTAGACTATGATCAAAATAAATATCTGCTTTAATTTTTTTCCTCAAAAAGTAAAATATACTCAACACTATGTGTTTTCCCTTTTTGTCTTTGCTATAAAGGACAAAAATCAGGTGAGACCCAAATTGAGGATTCAGCCGCAAATCCGCTTCTTTTCCTGGGACTGGGAGCATCTCCTCTCTCCGTTCTTTCAATGACTCTGTTCAAAATTTATCCCAGTCCTTTGTGTCACCGTGTGAACTTCCAAGACACTCCAACGACATTGGAAAGTGAAAACTTAAATTCAGAATAAAGGCGTCTTTTACAGTCTTCAAGAATATGAAAAACATTTAAAGGAAAGAACTTGCCTAACTGTGCCGTCATCATGACTCGAACAGAGTCACAAAAGTTGTAAATGATACGTATGATTCGACGAGTCGAAAGGTCGAGAAGAAGAATATGGCCTCCTCCAGTTCCGATCCAGAGGGCAGTGTTCTTCTGAAGGCAGAGAGTTTTCACTCTCCCAGAATAACACATTTTGTGTTTTGATTCTTTGCTTACTTTTACCATCTCCTCCCTAGAATCATAAAGAGAGCATCTATTAATAATTCTATCAGCAATTAAGAGGTAAGATAGATGTCTCTACCTATGTACACATATAACATTTAAGTTATGAAAACATCACAATATATAGTATGCGTCACTAATATTGTACAGAATAAATTTTGCTAAGCACATGCCAAAGAAACACATCTCTCTACTTGAATCATAAATTGCCAAAGATAACACAGTAATAGCCTTTCAACTTTAAGAAATTCTGAAACGAATTAGAGGGGCACACTTTTTCTAAGTACCAAAGCTATCTAAGTCAGCAAAAAGGGAATATGCATGTACCCAATAGAAAGGAAAAAGTTAGTTTGAAAAGCTTTACGTGAAGATTCAAAGTTACAAAAGAAAATAAAATTATAGTCATTTACATATAAAAGATACCAATGCAAACCACTGAGTTTTTCCCCTGAGATAATGAATACTCTAATTCAGGACAGAAATATAGTGTCCAGAAATAAAAGAATCTTCATAATTTTGGAACTGCAGGAAATAAGGAACTCTACCAAACAGAACTCTCAGCCCTTCTGAACATAAACAGAGAGGCTTTCTCACAATCCAGAGCAAAACCCTAAGATAAATCTCTGAAAGTAAACTTTGAAATCTCATTTTATGCACTTAGCGTATAATCTAAAATGTTCTTCAGAGTATAATACATCCATATGGTAAAATCAAAACAAAACAAAAACATAAAGCAGTTTGCAATTAAGTTTGGCAATGATCCGTTTCTCCACACCAGCTCAGAAAGGTTGCACTTGACACAGAGCCTGAGATCTGCCACTCACACACTGTTTCAGAGGAGCCTCGGAGCTCCTCTCTAAGTTAGGACACTGGTCAGTCTAGTACGTCCCTGTCTCCTGTGTTTCTCTGTTATTCTGTGCCTTTTTTTCCCCTTAGAGCACAGATTCCTTGGACCCACAGTCAAATGCTAAGTAGAATATTGATACTATGATGCCATCAGATCTACAGCTAGTAATGAAGGCTGCATCCATTTTCAATCAGGTGCTATTTTCAATAGAGAACATGCTTTGAAAGAAATTATATATGTAGTATGTTCTTATGCTTTTATTTTCCCACATAAAATTGGGCAGATATCAAAAGATGCTGCCAAAAAGCACGAACAGCTGTATTTTTGCATTCTGTCTATGAAGAGGCAGAAAGAAACAACTAAGCCACGATTGGTTCCTCCCTCTGCGAAATCTGAAGCATATGGACAGCTCTTTCAGGTATAAAATAAAGAGCGGATGAATTTACTTTAAAAAGTGCACACAGTCTATTAGTTCGCAGAGTTTTTCAGTTTTCTTATCCCACACTTCCACGACAGGGCTGTTTTTCTTAGCAATGTAGAGAACAGTGTCGGCCACCACGGCTCTGATGTTCGAATCACTGAAAGCTGCGTAAGCAAACCTGGAGGGGAACAGAGGAGTGTCACCACTGTTTGGGTTTTGTTTTTTACATTTCAACATGTAATACAACCTTACATCGGCTTTAATGCATTTAAAATTAACCCTATTTTGAAAAATAAACAAGCTAGACTATCGCAATTATTTCATACATTCCTCTAACCATTCTTAGTTGAATACATGTAGTTACTTTGGTACCTGGCCTGCTTTTCGTTACTTTACTTTTGATTTCCTTTAATGATAAATTAAAGATTGACTATGTCTATGTGTGGGTTTAGTTTTCATTTCAACTCTATCTGGTTCTTGTAGAATTTTACAAGAACCCTAGTTTCCAAAAGAAACATCCATTCTAATAGCTGTAGCTTTTGAACGATGCCTGAATGCTTGGAAAATTAAGGATTCGTTTTTTTAACACCTAGAGTTATAAAACAGAAGGTGTTGATGTAAAATGTAGTGGCAGGGTCCCCAAATGTTAAAGCAAAATATATCTCTGCATCAACATAGGCCAGTCGAGAAAAAAATGCACGTAATCCAAACATAAATAGAAAGTAAATTATGTGCCATTTTACTCCCTTTGAAAATAAAGAAAAATTACAAAAAGTATCTCCCTTACAACCTAAGACATTTAGCAATGCTCACATTTCACAAACAGAGTGGCTGGCATGGGCCCTGTTGGCGTGGCAAACACCTACTTATCTTTGGAGGCTTCACTTAAATATCAGCTCCTCTGGAATTCTTCCTTGACCTATGAAAATAGAGCAATATTGCCTTCCCTCCACTGGTGTAGCTATAATAGTATAGACCTTATTAAACATAAAGCATTATTCATAAATGTATCCTTCACATGAGACTGTAAGGGTAACTTCTTAAGGGCAAGGGCCATGTCTTTTCTATATATTTCCAATCCAGTAGAGTTATCATAGGTAAGTTAGTACCTTTGATATACCAGGAAAAAGTAAAAATGGTTAAAATTATAATCAGCCACATGCCAAGAGAATACAACAGTGATGTAAGAATCATCAGTAGGTCCCGGAGTAGGAAGATTTTTTTCCGCCTCCTTTTTCTTCCATTCTGCTAAGAGAGTGGAGATATAATCTGCTGACAGAGCCCCTATATTCTAGATAATTCCATATTTAATGGATGTTGGCTCCTATTAGCATAGAGTTTTACATAGAGTTTTAGAATTTATAAATTATTTTTGTGTGTTAATCTTGTTCTATCCTTAATTTAAAAACCTAAAATATGATGAATGTCAATGTTTGTTAGTTACAGAAAGAAAGGTTTACCAATGTCAAATAACTTGCTCAAGGCCACAGGACTAACGTGTTTCAGACCCAGGACTCCAAACAGGTCTGGTGGAGCCCTCTGGCTCAAAGGCAGCCATTGTCCAAAATGCCTACCAGTGTGATGAAGCAGCCCCAATGACAGATGTGGTGTCTGTGTAAGTGGGAAGAGACCAAGGCAACAGGAAATACTTTTCTAAAAGAGGTGAAATATTTCCACGTGTTTATGAAACCATGTCATCATTTTTTGGGAGAGATGAACGTCTCTGCGAACCTGATGTTTATACACCTAGATGTTCTATAGTAAAACATCTATATTTCAAATCTTATATGGAATTTTAAGAAGTTGACAGATACCCATCAGCCTACAAAAAGCTCTGTGAAATAAAAAAACTTATAGGTCCTTTCTTTTGAAACATTTTCAAGCTTGTGTAGTTGGGTTAAAAGTGGAAATAATAGATAGAGAATAAGGTCATCCAAATATTGACCACATGCTAATAAACAAATCTGTAACAAGACAGAAAATACAAACCCTCAACCCTGAGAACTTAGAACATAGCACAGTATATCTTAACCCAAAGGACACTTTAGAACCACCTGAGAACTTGGAGGGGAAAAACAAAACACTAACGCCAGGGTCTTATCCCAGGCTTCACTGGTCTGATTTAATTGTTCTGAACTGGGTCCCAGGCATTTTATCATCTTCAGCTATCTACAGGTTTCTAATGGGCAGCCAATGTTGAGAACCAGTTGATCTGGCAGTATCAAGAAGCTATTGTTTAAAATAGAATTATAAAAATATTACAGCTGTTGTGAAGGGAAACAACAAATGCAACACAGAACACAAACACTGGACACCTCCCCTGCACAGGTGGGACTGGGAGAGTCACTCAGAGGAAGTGGCATCTGGGCTGAAACAGACAGGGCATAATAGGCCCCCAGGCAAAGAGAAGACCGTGTTTGAAGACTGGGAGTGAAAGGAAGCAGACTGTCATTGAGAACTGAGACCATTCCAGTTTGGCTGAAGCACAGAAGGCAAGGAGGCTGCAAAATGGGAATCTAGAGAGGCAAGCAAGGCCTGATTCTGAAGGGCCTGGGAGGCTATCATGGGGAATTTGGACTTCACCCAAAGAATGATAGGATGCCACTGAAGGGTTGAAACAGGACAGTTAATCAGATTGACTTGCATTTTAGAAGAGTCTCCTATCTGCAATACTCAAAATAGACTGAAAAGAGTATAAACTGAGTATAAAAAAGTATAAACTGGATACTCTGAGAATAAACAGAGTATAAAAGAGGATAATCTGGGTATAAACATGCCCATAGGTGATGGATGGCAGACTGGCCCATGGAAGCTGTGCTGGGAACTATGAGAAGTACAAGGACTTGAGAGACAATGGCTAGAGCCAGGTGGATCCGGGGAACAGAGGACAGACAAGATCACTACACGTTTCAATCTTGGGCAATAGACGGATGAACCTTGAGATGTTAGCATATTCCCTGAGATAGAAATTTGTGGTGCAAAGCTCATAGTAATCACAGTAAGGGCTAACATGTATTTACAGTTTACTAGGTGCTGATGAGTGATGTTAAGCTCCTTCTATTAATTTTTGTATCAAGTATTTCAATTATCACTTTGACAGAGTATATTACAATCCTCAGGTAAGAAAGAAGTGAAGGTTCGAAAGGTTGTGGCCCAAGTTCACAAAAGCAGTGAACAACAAAGCCGATGTCTGAACTAAGATTTATGCTCTTATCCACCATCTTACACTTGTGATCACCAAGGGATGTAATGCTTTGGTTAACATACAATTTAAAAATTGAAGCAATATTAAACTGGGAAGAGGTTTATATTTTATTATATAGTTGTTTGAAACTAGCATCACTAACTTGGCTATAGAGTGGACATCTGTGTGTTCATCAAATCTAGAAAGAACTTTATTCCTGCAGTATATATTTATAGCAGTAAACACTTCATGGAAAGTATATTAAACTTCACCTGTAAAATCCATGAATTTAGTAAAAGACTGAGTTGACGGCCTTCCAAATCCATATGTCTAATTTGAAACACAGATTATAAAGTTACTAAAAATTTAGATGGATAAATACTATCGCGATTATAATGGTTTACATATTTTGTCCCAGAAGTGATAAGGCTAGATGATTTTTTAATATTTCCCTGCTTCCTAAAGTATTCTAAAGAATTTTCTAAATTTTCTAAAATGAACATTTAATTTCGTAATAGAGAAATGAATTATTTTATCTCAAAAGAACTTTATTCTGAAATCAATGTATTGACATATTTATAAAAAATAAGCATAAATAATAAATTAGTTGTACAGACAGAAAATAACTTACAGTTGATTAGTCCTCGTCTCAATGAGTTTCTGAATGGTGAAATCATTAGAAAATGAGAAAATCTTTGTGCCACATCCTCCCCACATCATGGTTTTTTCAGTTGAATTTGTGGATTCACTCAGACACATCAGGGGAGTGCTGACACTTCCTATGTTTAGTATCTTCAAAGGAGCAGCCCCTTTAAACTTTTCCAAAAAAGAGAAAACATACTAAGCAAAGTATCTACAGAATGAAACATATAAAATCTGTGCTTTTGAGAAACTACGTTCATCTTGAATAACTGGAGATAATAAAATAATAATTCAGATATTCTTTTTTGAAGTTTCTATAAAAACAGGATTCAATGAAAGTACTACACAGCTGGAAGGCTTAGAAAAACTTAAAGTCCAAGGAAAAATCTCTTAGTTTTAATAAACAAGTTCAGTAAGTTTGCAAAATACAAAACCAAAATATAAAAACTCTTAGTATACACTAATAATGAACTAGCTGAAACTACAAAATAAAGTAAAATACCTGAGAATAAACTTAACCCCGGTGAAAGATCTTGATACAAGGAACTCTAAGACACAGATATAAGAAACTGAAGAGGACATAAACAAATGGAAAACATTCCACGCTCACGGAGTGCTAGAATTATCATGGTTAAAATGATGATACTACCCAAACTAATCTACACATGCAATAACACAATGCCAATGACATTTTTAGGAGAAAATATTTTGAAGCTTTTGTTCTGACAAGGGCCTAATACCCACAATACACAAGGAACTCAAGAAACTCAACAGAAAAACCAAACAGTCCCACTAAAATGATCTAAATAGACATTTCTCAAAAGACACACGAATGGCTGACAAGTATACGAAAAACTGCTCAACCTCACTAATCATGAGGGAAGAACGATCCATGAGCATGGGATGTCTTTCCATTCGTTTACGTCCTCTTCAATGTCTTGTATCAGTGTCTTATAGTTTCTCTAATCAAAACCACAAGGAGCTATCATCTCACTTCAGTTACAATGGTTATTACCAAAAAGAAAAATAGTAATACCATGGTGGTAAGGATGCAGAGAAAAGGAAACTCTCATCCCGTGGGGGGGGGGAGGGGGAGAATTTAAGTTAGTACAATCACTACAAAAAAAAATACTATGATTTTCAAAAAAACTAAAAATAGAACCAACATATGATCCATCAATTTCACTCCTGGGTATTTATCCAACAGGAGGGAAATCAGTGTATCATGGGGATACATGGGCCCCTCTCCCCCATGTTTAGCGCAGCTCTGGTCATAATAGCAATGATATGGAATCACCCTACATGCTCATCAACAGATGAATGGATAAAGGAAAAGTGAGGTGTGTTTACACAATGGAATGCTATTCATCCATAGCAAAGAATGAAATCATGTCATCTGCAAAACAAATGGAACTGGAGGCCATTATGTTGAGTGAAAGAAGACAGGCACACAAAGACAAATCTCACATGTGGGAACTAAAAAGGTGGATCTCCTGGAGACAGAGAGCAGAACGACAGTCACCAGAGGCTAGGAAGGATGTGGGCAGAGAGGTCGGGTAATGGATACAAACAGACCATTAGAAGGAATAAGTTCTAATGTTCAATAGTGATATGGTAACTATAGTTAAAAACAATGGATAGGACATTTCAAAATAGCTAGAACAGGGAACTTGAAATATTCTCAACATGTGAAAGTAAAAATTCTCCTGCTGAAGAAATAGCCTAATACCCTCACTTGGTCATTATGCATTCTATGCCTGTAAAGAAATATCACACGTACCCCATAAATATGTACAAATATTAAGTACCACTTAAAAAAATTTAAGTGGTATTCAAAATAGCCTTATGACCAATCTCATCTCTTTTCCATGCAAAAGTTGTACAAGAAATAATCTAAGGGTAATACTTGACTTCTCTGTCTCTGATTAGATAAATAAGCTTTTTGGTGACAAGAAATATGAACGATTCGTAATCCTTCAATAGAAGTTGAATGAACAGATGGAACCAAAGATGAATGGACCATGGAGGAACGAATGCTTTAATGGCTAAATGAGAATCTGAAGAACAGAAAATTAAATGATTTCTGTAGCACTTAAAAATCAGTTAATGACCAGCCATATTTAAAAGTTAATTATCCTTTCTTTCTTCCACAATATATCTATAAGGAATTATCTACAAATTGAATTATCTCCATTCCTAACATTATAAATCCAATCTCATTTATCATTTTAGTCCCAGGTCATTCATATAAAATATGCAATGAACAGCAAGTATTTTCAGAGTAGCTACGGTGTATAAGACTTTATGAAGCAATAAAAAGATAAAAAGCAGAATTTATGATCCTTGCTCTCAGGGAGCTTATAATCACCTAGGAGAGGGATGCGCTATATAAAACAAAGGACTTAAAATAAATTTTGATGTAGAATGTAGTCAACATTTACCTTAACAGTCTTATCTTCAAAAATGGCTAAATTGCCATCAGCAGTTCCCACCAAAAGAAAATTTTTTTGCTTGCTGAAAGGAAAAATGTCAAAATTGTTACAGAAAAGAATATTAATATTGACTAAGATAGCTTTAAAGTTCTCCCCAGGTTAACTAAATTTTAGACAGTTTTCTTAACTATAAATTCATAGCCCCCATTTTCTTAGAGCTTTACTTTAGAAGACTTGCAACTATAAATTCTCTCTCTGCCCCTGTAAGATATATATAACTTTCCCCAGACTTATTTCCAGTTTTAAAGTCCAGCAATGTCTTTCCCAAGGACCTGGGTGCCATCCCTTTGAAACGTAATCATTGAGAAGGATGTTGGCCCTATCTCCCAATCTCTGTGAAAGGGTAGAAACCCACCTTCAGTAAGGGACAATTAGCAAACACAGATGCCTACCTATTAACAATCTTCTTCCCTACACAACCCAAACTCCTAGCTCAGGCCTGTGCTTAAAACTCTCCCACCTTCGTCTCAGTGGAGTTTCCTTTGATCTTTCTTCCCTATTGTGATAACCTTAAAAAATTCTGCCTTGCTTGTTCAATTCCATCCATTGACTTTTTTTTTAAGATCCAAATAATTTCAGCTCCAAAACTACCAGTGGAATTTATATTTTGGCTTCAGATTCTTTTTATGTTGTAAGCTGTTATTTATTTACCTATTTTTAATCTTTTTAACATTTTTTTTTTTAATTTCAGATTCAGGGAGGGTACAAACAACTAGGTTACCAAGTTTGCTTTGGTTAGGTAGAGTCCCTCCTGGCGCTGTGTCCCACGCTCTAGCGGGCACCAGGTAAGGGTATGTGGCTTCATATCTGTGATACTTTTTTTCCATTACTGAATTAAATCAGAAAAGTATGTGGGGTATGTAGGTAGTATAATCTTAATGCCTCCTGGAAATCATCTTGACTGAAAAATTACAGACACCATCCTAAGACACATGCTTCAAATTCTGCCATTTCATTAACGCTTCTTTGGGATAAGAACCTGAAATTGATAAGGGCTAAGTCATTTCTACTTATTAAGAATTTATAAATTTATTTAATTTTTTTTCATTAGGTAGTTAGATAACTGATGTGTTGAAGCCTGGCATGTAATAGGCTTTTGAGATTTTATACACACACATACCCTGTAAAGAAAGAATAAATGAGAATTCATCTTTGCAGAGGCCGTCCAAGGGGATGTGGACATGAAAGAAACTGAAGAGATACAGCCACAGCTGAGGGAATTTTTTAGTAGAGGGACCTCACCTACGGAGCATGTTGCAAGTACAAGTTGGATCTATCGGGTGTAGAACACAAATGGCTTAATCCTGTAATTGGGTAAATGAGGTGAAGGCTATGCTGATTAGTAGGATGTAAGCACTTCACTCTGTACAAATAATCAACACATTGAATCCCATAGTGGCATAAATGTATTTATAGTCTATGTACAAATGACTTAATAAAAAAAAATACGTAATTTTCCCACAGTGGTTGAATTCGCTGCTGTACCTTTGCTTAGAAAAGGAATTGCAATGCAGACAAGTAATGGAATCGGTCATCCTTTCTAGGGTATGTCTCTTTTTCCCGTCTTCATTATTGATGACCAGCAGAGTACCAGACTGTGTCCCACACACAATCCAGCTTTCCTTTTCAACAGGAAGATGTACCAAGGCTAAGCACAATATTCTACTATCAGTAACTTCCTGTTAGGAGATAAAAAGACAACTCAAAAGGACTTGGTGTAAGTTTAAGCAACTGGAACTTCTATAGAATGAAAATGTTTTATCATCAACATACTTGACTCTTTTTAACTCTTGCAGTCACTTTCAGAAACAATGGCAATTTTGCTTGCAACAGTAATTGAGTTAACTACCAAACAAGGTTTGCCCATCAAGAATGCAGCTAAAATTAAAAATTAAAAATTATTTTCAGCATCAATTCTCATTCCACCTAAACCATATAAGAGGATTGTTCAATTGTAAGAACAATATTTAGGCAAAACATCAATTTTGGTCAAAAGTCTGGAAGTCTACCTTATCCATCCTGTAGGAGGCACACCCACATCCCCTTTCTCATCAGGCACACCATCCCCCAGCAGCCCCGAATGTTGGCTACTAACAAACACCTCAGAGCTGAGCTTTTTACTACAGAAAGTCCTAGGCCAAAGGGAGCTGGCTTGCCCAGAAAAGCTCTGCAGGTGACCCCACAGCCACTCTTGGGTAGACTGTAGCCAATGACTCACTGATATGTGAGAAAGAGGGACCGCACCTCCCCACCCATACCCCCAATGCTAGAAAGTTCTGTAATGCTCTTTGCACTCCAGAGCTCCTTTGTAGGTAAAGCTGAGGCTACATTTTGCTAAGCTTCTTTTTTCTTTCTCCTTTCCTGGCTTTCTTTACTTCCCTAGAGACCCCAACCTAGGATATATATATTCTGTGATTATGAAACCAAAACACAGACTGTGAATACCTTGCTCTAAAGAGAGCTAATTTAATAATATTCCTACATTGGCTCCTACTGAATTTCTTCCTAAGTAATTTTTAACTAGCTTAGGCTCTAAATTACCCACGAAACAAGTGTTCTAAAATTTAAAGAGTATTCAGATTTACCTCGGAAGTGTGTCCTTCAGTATTTAAGTCGAGACACGAGAGCTGCCCTTTGTCCCTGTGGCCACAGCCCAGCCAAATGCTGGCGTTCTTGCTGTTAGTGGGTGTCGCAGCCATACATTCAGCAATAAAGCTTTTAGGTAGTAAAATTCGTCTCATCAGACAGATTAACTCTGCTGAATTCAACATGTCAAAGACCTGAGAAAGTTTAAAAATAACAACACAAATACTTAGCAACTTAACGCATGTCCCTTGAAGGATGGAATATAGATGTAAAAATTTAAAACTTAGATCTGTTCAATTGTGTCCCACCCAGGTCATCCAGATTAATAATACATTGAAAACCTAATCTGTATTTTTAAACAGCATGTGATAGGTATTCTTTTGTATGTATGGTATATTTCATAACTTGACAAGAAAAGAATATCTCAAAAGTGTCGAATGAACAGAATTTTAACCCACCTATGGGTTATTCTTCACTGAATTGTATATTATAGAGCCACAGAGAGGGGGAGATACACCCCAACTATAGACTTGAACTTCTACCAGTCAAAAGGACAGAATTTCAGTCTTTGGTAACTATAATTAGAAATCGCCTCTATATTCTGTTTCATATTTTTCTTTCAGCAGTAGAGGTCTACAGAGGCATTGTGAAGGCATTTCTAATTGTAAAAAAACAGAACCAGGAGTCAGGGAACTGGGATGAGAGGTATGATATGCCATTTGTCTGCCACTGGTGAGACCCCAAAAAATCTCCTGATTTTCTTCATGCCTCATCTAATAAAGGTGATGAGTTTACCTGTCCTATCTACTATATGCTGTATTTTAAAGACAAATAGGTATGTCTAAGCTTTGTAATACTGTCAATAGACTTTAAAAGATGTGAGGTTCATGTGTATTCTAAAAAAAAAAAATAGGTGAAGTATAATTGTAGAAAAAAATAATAATTAAGTTAAGGAAATTTTACGGTGATAAAATAAAACATAAATATAAAAAGTCCATGAGACTAACACTGCAGTAACCAAAATTCAAACACAAGTAAGCCAAATAGACAGCAAAATTATATGATATTTGATAAGTCAGTATACCTGCACTTAGCTATTTCTTTATTAGGAAATTTAACCTTGAGTAAAACTTTTTTGAAGAATTATGATACACAATTAAGGTCTCCCAACATAAAGATAGCTCCTACCTACTAAAACGTGTACAAGCTTAAAACACAGCATGAGTTCTTTTTCAGATAATATGGTGGATGAGGTTACTTAGACAACTTTCCAGCTAAAATCAACTGAAAATGCTGAATAATTTTTAAGTATTAAAAATGTGGGACATCTGACAATACCATAAGGAATATTAGGGCAAAATTTTAATAAGAGACAAAAACCAGAGAGGTCATTTAGACCCGAAAGCAAGATTTGTCCTGAAGAGATGTGTCTATTGAGACAAAATTGATGTGTTGTTTTGGCTGCTCTGTGGGGCCCATGGAGAGAAAATGCAGTCTAGGACCTGCCTAGCACAAGGATTCGTAATAAAGGCACTGTCCCCATAAAGCTAGTCCCAAAAAGGACAGCACATCTGGCGTAAGTGAGGACCAGAAATGAACATGTCCACATTTCCACCTTCACTGATCTATAAGGAAAATTGCTTTGGTACTGGTGAGGGGGGCAGAGGAGTAAACGACCCAGAAAATTCTGATTCACATGCTTTCTTTCAAGAAGATTCATAGACCAGTTTGATATCAGATGGGCAGTTAAAAGAAAAAAGAAATCTCAAGACAGGAATTCAGTTTAAAGTAATTTGTAGCGAGAAAGTCCAGCAGAAGCCATGCAAGACCTAGATATGGAACTGCAAAACTCTAATGAAAGACACTGGAGAAGATGAAGGTAGAGGAAGAGACGCCTGCGGTCAAGAATAGGAAGACATAACACTATAAAGATACTATCCTGTCCAAACTGTCTTCAGATTCAAGGCCAATCCAAGCCAAAGCACAATGTGGCTTGTCTTAAGATTTGACAAAGCAGTTTTCATTTTATATAGAGAATTTAAGCCTAAGAAAAATGAAAAGACATCCCCAGAGGAGAAAAATAAGCAAGGAAAGGGGACTTGTATAAAGCTACTGAAATTAAGTCAGTCATACTAAACATAGCATAGACAAGTTGGTCAATGGATATGAATGGAGCTGTGTATATGTGCGCTTGTCTAGACAACTCACTAAATGCGCACATCAGATCAACGGGATAAAAGGAGAGAATCTATTTTGTAAGTGAAGACACCAAGTTTGGTGGTCCATATGGAAATAACCCAAGTGTGGATCGATGCATGATTGGATTGGTAAAATTATATGTGTACCACAGAGTATTATTCAGCCATAGACAAGGGTGAATTACCCTATAGCTTGCCATACATAATGCCCTGCCGTGTATAATCCACACCTACATTTTTGGCCTAAACTTTTAGGGAAAAAAATTTTAATTTTCAAATTCAAATTTTTACTTGTTAATATTAAGGTTTTTCGTATTATAAAGGAAGTGTAGGATTTTTAACAGATCATGGTACAAAAAATTTTATGTAACAAATAATTACATACAAGAACAGATAGCAGGTAAAAGAAATTTTATGTACCAGTGACAAACAGTACTACTTATATAAGATGTGCATCCTTATTTTTCCCTCAGAACTTTAGGCAAAAAGTACACATTTCACACCGAGAAATACGGCAATACTTTTGGTAACAACCTCAGTGAACCTGAGACCATCCTTGAAGTACTGCAAGAATAGGGAAAAAAAATTGCCATATGTGCTCACTTTTAAATTGGAACTAAATGATCAGCATACAGGTGTATATATGGTAGCAAAACTCAATGGCATGAAGCAGGTGAGAGAGAGGAGGAGCGTACAGCTAACTCTCACCTAATAGGTACGATCCACACTATCTGGGGAATGGACATAATTATAACCTTGACTCAAACTGTATAAATAAATGCTTGTAACCAAAACACCCGTACTACTATAAGATTCTGACAATACAAAAAAAGAAAAAAAAGAAAGAAAGAAAAAGCAAATTGGATCCAGATAAAAATGTCAATTTCAGATGGATTAAGAACATAAATGTCAAATGCAAAACTTATGAATTTTTGAAGAAACTGTAGGAAAATATTTTTTTGACTCCAAGGGAAATACAGACTCCTTGCAACAGGATCCCAAAAGTAATAGCCAGAAAGAAGAAGCATTGTCAAATTTATCTATATTAAAATTAAGAAATTCAGCTCATTAAAGGGTACCCTACAAGAAATAATGAAAGCAAGGCTCAAACTCAGAAAAAAAAAATATGCAACAAAAAAATTGCATCAAACCACATTCTTTTTGATGTCTTTTTCTTATTTGACTTATAGGCAAATAACCCCATAGAAAATGGAAAAAAGAAAAAAACAGGCATTTCAAAGAAGAGGAGATAGATATCTATTACCTGCATGTGACATAATCAGGAAGAAGCATGTGGGGACTTGTAGGGTATTGACAATGTTCTTTTTCAGAGATGGTGGGACTTACAGGAGGGTTGTATTGTAACATTTCTTAACTCTGTGTTTACATATGTAATTTCGAAGATTATATATGTGTGTGAATAATATACAACATTCTATACAAAATAGTAACAAATTCTCACTGTGAGAATACCTGGGCAGAAGTCGGCCTTTCTTGAGGATTTTCTTTCAAACACATTTTAATTAACTTCTCAACGGTGGGCCACGGGGCACAACCATACTCTTTAACAGGATCTGAAACATCCAAAAACATATCAGGCTGGAACGTCACAGATCAGAACAGTTATATTTCCTCTCACTAACAGGACAGGTCCAGATAGTGCAAAGGAAAATATTAGTCACCAGAATCCTGTGTTTACTGGGAATTCACTTATTATAAAATTAAAGCTCATGTTAACTTCACCTCCATTAGAGATATTTTTAAAAAGTCTTAATTTTTTATGCTGTAAAAAGAGACCCAGATGCCAATTCAATAAAATAATTTTCATTCCATACCTGCATTTTAAATAGGCTTTGAAAACACTTTTGCCCATAAAATAGTCTCTATGACAGTAAGTTTTACTTCCATAGTAAAAGTAGGAAAGCATTTAGTCCTCATATTCTCACTGTGGGTTTGTGCACATTTGTTTTTTTAAGAACAAATTTCTGAGAACGTCTTTCTGTAGGTACAGAATAGAGGACTGGAGACTTCCACTGGAAAACCAACTGGTTAGTAAGAAAGATGACCTAGATTGTATCTAAGGTTCACCCAAATAATAATAAATTTCCTTTGGCCAAAATCTTTAAAGGTCACATTCAAAAGAAGATAAAGCTATTACCCCGTATCTACCACATGGTGGACACTCAAAATGTTTCTTTATCTTTATCTTTTTTTTTTTTGAGACAGAGTCTCACTCTGTTGGCCAGGCTAGGGTGCTGTGGCCTCAGCCTAGCTCACAGCAACCTTAAACTCTAGTTCAAATGATCCTCCTGCCTCAGCCCTCTGTAGCTGGCACCTGCCACAATACCCAGCTAATTCTTCTATTTTTTCGTTGAGATTGGGGGGTCTCCTTCTTGCTCAGGCTACTCCTGAATGCCTGAGCTCAATGGATCCTCCCTCCTTGGCCTCCCAGAATCCTAAGATTACAGGTATGACCCATGGCACCTGGCAAAAACAGTATTTCTTAAATGAAAGGCAAAGCAGAAAATATGAAAAAAAAAATCTAAATAAATTTAAAAGGGTACTTTATAGTAGAAACTAAAGTAATGGTTCAGGAATGAAGGACAAAGTCCTGAAATCTCTTGAAAACATCAGACACCATTCAAAATGAGGATGGAGCTCATTAAATCCTCATTAGCCAATTTGTATTAATATTTACTACCAAAAGTTAATTATTATAAATAATTCAAGCTTCCATTCCTGCATATAAACTATTTTATCCAAAAAACTGAAAACACTCCAGGCTAATGGGCCAGTAATTCTTTATGAAACTAGAATCACCACATCTGAGGTTTTAACAGCAATTTCCTTTTCTGAGTATTCTTCTAAATGTAACACCAAACACGCCAGTATTGATTTGGGGCTTTTGAAGGCCGAAAACTGCTACCTTTCTCATGTGATTTTGATTCAGGTGTCACAGGATTTAAGAATATTACTGCATTAAACAAAAATGTATCAGTTTATTCATGAAATTAAGCATGCAACAACAATTAAATAACTTGAAAATGAAGCTGCTGACATTAAGAAAAAAAATCATTTTATTGTAGATGAAATAGAACTTACCAGGCAATTTTCCTTGTATTGCTAATTCATCAAACTCATTGGGAAACTTCAGGCCCTCTACTATTCTCCCTCCAGTTGTTAAAATGTCGTAGAGTAGCAGACCAAATGAATAAACATCAGCCTGTTGGTTATAAATGACATTTCCTCTGGCGACTTCAGGTGCGCGAAACCCTGAAAGTAAACAGATATAATAATAAATATGCCCAACTTTAGGGCCCATACACTCAGGAACACATACACTTGGGCTATATGCCAATTAAGAGAATCAGAGAGATGAGTTCTAAGCCAGGCTATGTCATTTCTATAATGAGACACCTTGATCAAGCCAATCGCCCTGTACCAGGACATGTTAACCCCGAGGTCAATCTTGAAAGATAATAAGATCCTTTAATCGTTATGATAAGATCTTATAGTTCTGTTATATAATCTTCAGTAAGATTATTTTGAAGGATGATAAGGATAAACATTCAATAATAAATTATTAAATAATATTCATCATGAAATAAAGGATGATAGAAAAAAAAAACTATCATTTTTCTCATTCCTAATAATAACTATTCCCAAAGCAGTGTTTTTAAAAAAGGAGGCTGAGGGGTAAAGATTGCTAGACTTCACTCCTAGTCACCTTAACCCGACTAAAATGTCAACACCCTCACTGTTTCCAGAATTTGCAATTCTGTTCCTTCTAACCAATGAAAACATAAATATAGAAACCACAACTAAAACAAATGAAAGCCCTCTCTGTCAGGATCCTACCTGAAATCCTTTTACAGAGAAATAAACCTCTCATTCCATAGAGAGATAAATCACTTTTAAATTTTTTGGAAAAAAGAGTAATTTCAACATTATTGATAATAGTAAAAATGTAAACAGTCAAGGGAAAGCCAGCTCTAAAAGGGGAACCAGTTAAACAATGTATACTAAGCAGTAACTTACAAATCATCGCTTAATTGTTTCCTCATTTTTCTTTTTTTTTTGGCTGGGGCTGGGTTTGAACCCACCTCCTGCCACCTCCAGCATATGAGGCTGGCACCCTACTCCTTTGAGCCACAGGCACAGCCCATTTCATCATTTTTCATAAATAAAAATAAGATGTAGTCTATAACTCTGGATAGACAGAAAGTTATCAAATATGTGAAAAAACCAACTGAATTGCTTTTCTTAGCTGGGATCCTAGTCTTGTAACGGAATGCAGGACAATTCATTTAGAGACGGCATTGCATAATGGGTGCAATTTAATCTCCAAGATTCATATTAATACGCACAGAGAGCAGGAGAGAGAAGAACAGGCAGGGCCAAACGTTAATAATCAGCATATTACTGTGTCAGGACAGAGTGCATACTGTACTATCCTTTTGACTCTTCTGCAGGCTTAAAGATTTTCAATACAAAAAGATAATGGGAATATCCATAATGAAAGAATAAAAAGAAACCTATCTAAATGCAGTAATGAGTATTCTATGTGCTGATAATTGGTATAAATTGTATCTTCTTTTTTAAACATCCACAGTTTTTACAATGATCATATACGATCGTTATAGTAAGGCTGCAGCTAGGAAACGATAATAAAATGTGAACTCGCAACCGTCAAGGAGTAAATGCCTGAATTTGGAAACAATTCTATTTAACAGAGAGTCCACCAGCAGAAGATCAAGTTCAACAGTCCTTCACCATGTTGGAAAGGCAGGAGTGGAGACAGCAGAAGGGTGGAGATGGCAATTTGAACACGAGAGCCCCTGTGTGATGGTTGACATTGCCCTTGGTTTTTATATATGTAGGTATAATGTATATGAACATATCATATATATGATAGTATAATGATATACCGATATGCAAATGTTTATTATTATGTATATCAGTGTGATTTACATATTCTATTAAGTTACAAAAGCAATCTCTCAGTCTTCAATGCACCCTGCATTTCCTTAGAAGAAGCACATTTTCCTGAATCATCATAATACCATCCTCATACCTTAAGCTAAAGAACTGTATAAGCAATTAAGATAGTTCTGAAGCATATCGGTAATAAAGGGTACGTGTGACGTAACGTAAACAAATTACAATAGCCCCTAATTCATATGATGTAGTATTTATAGACACATCTTATTGAATGTTTCCATTTAAAATGCACAGGCATCATCTGGGGTAGACAGATAAGGACTTTCCATTCTACAAAGGACATAATCCTTTCCAGAATTTTCGTAAGGCCATGGAGATAACCAATGGCAAAGTCAAAAGTCCTTAAAAATAATGAGTTACTCACGCATTAACTAATTCATTAACAATCTTTATACTTTCTTTCTTAGAATTTAAAAGGGATTTTAGAGACTTATTTAAATCCTAACTGGTTGGTTGTAATTCACTCAACATATTTATTAAATATCTATTATATCAAGGTATTCAAAAGCTATTAAAAGGTTCAGTTTATTTTTTTCTTGATAAATTCACTGGCAGAATTGGACTTGCCAGATCTCAGAACAGGCAAAGATTCGAGGGTCCCTTAGTTTAACGTCTAGCTTCTCCTCCAGCACACACATCCTTTACAATAGTTTTTACACCTATAGGGATCAATCCACCGATCTTATTGCTGTGCAGAAAGGTGGAATATTTAACAATGAGTCAGTCAGAGGACACAAAGATAGATAATTGTGAAGATAAGGACGGGAATATTTACTTCAATACAGAAATGCCTTTAACCTTCTTACCTTCCTCCCTTCAAAAGAAGTATCTTCTCTGATGGGAGCAAAATATTATTTATATATTCAGAAAGTACCTCAATTATAATACCCTTGTAAATGCGTCTTTAAACTTATCCAGTGAATTTCTAATGTTCTTGATTGCAAAAACAATTTCTTGATGAACATTACCGTGCTATGAAATGGCAGAGCCAGTTTGATACTAGGTAAATGTTAAATAAATTGTTGCCAAATGCATAAATGAATGAATCAAAAATAAATATGATTTCCCCTTGGAGAATTATCATAACAATTACAATGTTCAAATGCTTAGGAAAATACGCTTCATTGTCTAAAACTATTCTTAGAAGAACTTTCTCAGAGAAGCCTGTAACAAACACAGGGAGGAAATACAGGAAAGATCCTTAGACCAAGAACATTAGAAATGTATTAATCAGGCCTGAATCAGTATAGCGCATGGAACAGAGATGCATTATTTTATTTCTTTTTTCTTTTCAGGGAAGTATGAGTAGAGTATGTTTCACAATCTCTATCCAGTATACGTAATTTACCCAAAGACGGTTGTATTTATATTGACAGAGTTAAATCCATCAGTCAGCATTCATCTAAGTCAACAGGCCGACTGTCACAGGACCCAGAATTAACAGTGACTCCCAAGAGGATACAATATAAATATATCTGTTTGACTGAGTTAAAGTTGAAACACTCCAAGTTATTTAAAGTTGAAACTAGTCATGCCGTATTTACTTTCAAAATGTAAACAGACACCCCACTGCGGTCCTAGTCAGTGACCGCGTCATTTCTGTCTTTGCCTCTCCAGCTGCCATGGTGCTGGACCAGGGCTCTGCTCTCCAGCTGCTCGGGTTTGAATCTTGTCCTGCCCTACAGACATTTTAACACTCTGTAAACCTTTGTCTCCTCTATAAACTAGAAACAGTCATAAGATCAACGCCAGAAAGTCCCCAGGATAAAGTGGCATAATCAGCGTGCGGAAAGGGCTCAGTACAAACCGGACACCTTGCTCCTGCCCTGGTCAGGTTTGCCCCTCTTCCCATCCTCTCTGCCATCAACAGGACGAACCCACACTCACTGGCACACACCGCAGGGTGGGTTAATACAAAACTGCACCAAAACTGTAACACACGGCCTTTTTAGTGCTTCTCAAAGTTTCCATGTTAAAAGATAGAACATTAACAGGAATATCCATGAAAAGGAAAAGACAAGCAGAAAACAGATCAGATGAGAGGAAACTGTTTTCCTTCCAAAAAGAACTGCTTGGGGGAAGGAAAAGTTTGGTGATGCCAGTAGTAGCCGTAACAGTGATTGTTATGTAAAATTTGAAGCAAAATTTAGGGCTAAAAGAATTAGAAGGGCTCTACCACTAATAAATACACTAATGATAAAGTGAAGGGCTTGGACACAGCAAGGGAAAAAAAGCACTTATAGTGTATTAAGCGGCCTGGGGGCAGAGCGGGTAAACAAGAACAGATCAGACCCTGGGTTTTCTGTCACTGACTTCCTCCATATTTATCTTAACATAAATCAATACTGGAGATTAAAAAGGATCAGGGATAAGTATCTAGTCTGGTATGAAGAATCAAACTGATATTAAACTTTAGATAGGTTTGACCAGGAAGTGAGATACATAAGCAAAAGGCTAGGAGTTTGAACCAAGTTAAACTGGGCTGACCATTAGCTGGCCCAGACCACCAACAGGAGCGGCAGGATTCAAGTCCAAGAACACAGTCAAAGGGGACCTGAGAGATCCACTGTCACACAGACTGGACACAGGATCCCCACCCCCAACAGACAGAGACACTGGCTGGGGGGACACAGAAGCAAGGAATTGCAAGCCCCAGGTGAGTGACCCGCCCACGTTGGTGTCACATGAGAATACCGAGCAGATCTTCCAAGAGAAGAAGACCAGGGTCCTGTGCCCCCTTTTTCTAGGTAGAAATGCATGCAACCTATGAAATTCTGTCCTTTAACATTGTTTTTCCAAATCTGTAGTTGACGATATTCATGGTTCTGCTCTTTTTTTTTTTAATAACTAACATTTGATAATTAAACTTCTTCAAGTACATGTTAGAGCTTCATGACATCTAAGAGAGACACGTCAGGCTTTAAAGCCAACAGCTCTGGACTGAGTTCTCGTCTGGGCCATATTGCCTGACATTCTGCAAATTACATAACCTCACTGAGCCTCAGTTTTTGAAAACAGTAACTAACTTTCAGCTCTGGCATTAGGGTAAGACTTCAAGTCTCTACCTGCATTAGGCCTGGCACACAGCAGGTGTTCAAATGATGAAAATTATTTTTATTTTTTTGTGATTCATGTCCATTTTGTTTCTTTCATTCTTTTTAATCCATGGACTGGGCCCTTAGTACAATCTCAAAGCAGAAGAATGGGGGTATTTTTGTCTCATTCCTAACTTTAAAAAGAATGACCCTAACATCTCACCATTACATACAGACTCACTACGGAGGCTTGTTACTGATATTGTTCATAAACTCAAATGTTCTTTCTGTTCCTACATGAAGAATTTTTATCATGAATAGAAACTGAATTGTATCAACTCCTCTCTGCTTTGTTTTGGTGATTATTTGGTTTTGGTTTATAATTTGTTAAGATAATTTTCATTAATGAATTTTTAAACTGTTATGTCCTTTCTTTATTGATAGGTATTATTTTTGATTAAAAATAGTAAGTGTATATATTTATGGGTACAATGTGATGTCTTGATATATGTATAGGGTGGCATGACTAAATCGTGCCAATTACCATATCTAGCACCTTGCTCATGTGTCATTTTCGGTGAGACATTTGAAATTTCTAAGTTATTCTGAAATATACATTATTACTGACCATAGTCACTTGGCTATGACGTAGCTCTCAAAACCTACTCTTCCTATCAGAAAGTGGTTTTTTCTTCGTTTGTTTATTTGTTTTTGGCCAGGGCTGGGTTTGAACCCACCACTTCTGGCATATGGGGCTGGCACGCTACTCCTTTGAGCCACAGGCACCGCCCAGAAAGTGTTTTTTTTTTTTTTTCAGATTATTCCTTTTGTGTGTTTGTGTGTGTCTCTTTTTTAAATTTTAAAGTAGTAGTAATGTTCAAATTTTTAGATTACATCGTCCTCACTTCCAAGGTAAAGTTCCAGTTGTAAAAGAGCCCCTCATCCAAGGGGCGTGGTATCCACCCACACATTGTGTCCATTCCATGAGATCCCCACCAAAGGCCCTCCCTCCTTCTGTCAATCATTCTTCCTTCCCCCACCACCTATACTATTGAAAAACCCAGAGACCCTCTCAGATAGAAGATATACTTTGAAGGGCTTATGGGGGTGCACTTTATGCCTCAAAGCCTACCTGTACCAAAGAGAGGACAGGCATTTGGAGCAGGAACAAAACCAGGCTTTGGAATCTGGGCACACTGGCTTACTGAAGTTGGGTGGGCAGGAAACAAGCTAGAACCTTTTCCCTAGTGAGATGTCCCCTGGTGTATTTTATTCTGTCTTAGATGTGGTGTTTTAATGGAGCTGCTACCATCAGGATGAGTAAAGCCACCTGCAGCATTGTTTACCAATCACTTGTTATAGAAGGAGTCTTCAGAGATGGAGCTGTCCTCCCCCAAACAGACACCAACCCCTGATTTTCTATTCCCTGCACAAACTGAAATATTAAAGATAAGAGTCTGTACAGATCACTGCCCCTGTGACTGTTTCTTACTCATCAGACTTTGAGATTTTAATGAACCTGAAAAGAAAGGGAGAGGAAGCTGAGAAAGGGAGGGAGGATCTTAGGGGGTAGACGGTGATGTGGAAAGAACACGGCTAAATATTGGACCACGAAAACACAAAAGTACAGGACAGCACAGAAAGCAAATCTTTACGAGCAGTGGAGCCGGTTCACAGCAGCAGTATCAGGATGATTAAATAGACATGACAAAAAAGCACTGGGGGTGACCCTAGGAAGGAACACACACACGAGAAAACGTGCCAGCGATTTCTGGAGATCGTAGACATGAGGGCATCCAGAGTGGGGATGTTCCACTTCACGTAGTAGCCTTTGCCATAGGGGCCCTTGCTATGCAGGGGCAAAAAGAGAACCTATATTATTTTTAAGTATTGAAATATTAACAACTTATACATCACGAAGAAAGAAAACTGAAATCCAGTGTCTATAGTCCTAAACTTCTATATCAGCTTGTAAGAAGGAGAACATATGCTTCCATCAAAAGCAGTGGGACCAAGGAAGACCCCAGGTGCAGAGACCTTATGGAAAGCCTTTGGAGCCAGAAGTACTTAGGAATTTATGCTTTTTTACCTTTAAGAAAGTTAATAAGGATGCATATAACATACGTTATATCAATCTTTAAGTAGGGTCAGGACCAGCCCCCTATATTCAAACTTGTATATATTTCTGCATATTCACATGAGTGAGAGCAATAAAGATTTTACTAAGCTTCAAGCCAGTCCAGGCAGGTTTTGCCACCAAGTAAGTTATAAAAGATCTTTAGGTGATCAGAGCTCTTTGGGTTCCACAGTTATGAAAAGCAGCTTGTGGATCTGGACTAGATTTGCCTCATACATGCCCAAGGTAGGTAGATTAAAGCCTTATGCTGTTACTTTTGTATCACCTCTAGAGTATTTAAAGATTTCAAGAAACTAACTTTTAAAAATATAACTTGACATCAAACACGCGCCCCTTTACATTCAGTTTTCGTCCTGGGAAATTGTATCAGTTGATATACATTTTTTTTTTCTTTACAAAGTACAATGACAAAAATCATTACGGAATGGTCACAATTATTCAGATAATGAGTATCTATTCACAGTGTGATAACTACAGTCCTCTGTGGACTCTCCTGAACTCACAGGTAAGGCCACTGGTTATGCAGAGAGAATTACCTCATACATGTGACCCCCTGCCTGGTGACCCCCTACCTGGTGTGACCCCTACCTGGTGTGACCCCCTACTTGGTGTGACCCTTACCTGGTGTGACCCCCTCCCTGGTGTGACCCCTCCCTGGTGTGACCCCTACCTGGTGTGACCCCCCACCTGGTGTGACCCCTACCTGGTGTGACCCCTACTTGGTGACCCCTACCTGGTGTGACCTCTCCCTGGTGTGACCCCTCCCTGGTGTGACCCCTACCTGGTGTTACCCCCACCTGGTGTGACCCTACCTGGTGTGCCCTCTGACGTCTTGATGCCCATCCGGCAGCAATACTGAGCGATCCCGTAGTCGGCGATCTTTGCGATGATGGCAGCATTGGGATACAGAGTAAAAAGCAGCACGTTGTGGGGTTTCAAGTCCCGGTAGATAATCATGGCTGAGTGGAGGTATCTGCCAGAAAATGCACAGGAAATCTTACTAAAATGCAATTGCATTATAATAATTTTTGTCATAATTTCCTTGAATAGGGATGTCCATTGTGCCAAGTGTCAAAAATTCTATACTAATGTTGACTCTCCAAGTTAAGAGAAGTTATAGAAGGAAATCAAAGCACTTGAGTCTAATATTAGAGAATGAGGTGATGCTTTTAAAAAAATAGGTCAATCTTAATAAATAAGTAATGTAAACTTTAAAAATCATCTCAGGCAAAGTCCTAATGTTTGGACCTAAGATTGACCTAATTTTTAAAAGCATCACCTCATTTTCTAATAGTAGACTTGAATGTTTTGTATACCTTAACAATGACGTAAAGGGAATTCTGAATTCCCTCAATGATCATGTGAATATCTTAACTATTTTAACATGTAAATAATGTTCAAAAAAAGAGTTGATAGGATTTTATTGTAAATCTCATTTTTTTAATAGTTTAGATTTTTCTTAAAACAACATAGAGGTTTATCTTAGCATTTAAAATTTTCTCTATCCTATTTACCTTTGATATTTATTTTTTTCTGATTAAAGTGTTTCCTCATGTTTTGGAGAACATATTCTACATTTTAAATGGCAAATCAAAGTATAAGGCTTTTTTCCAGCTATTAATCTCTTCCTTTATTTGAAGATACATTTTACTGTAAATCCAATTCTGGGCAGCACCTGTAGCTCAGTGGTTAGTGCACCAGCCACATGCACTAGGGCTGGTGGGTTTGAACCAAGCCTGGGCCTGCTAAAAAAACAAAACAATAGCCAGGCTTACTCGGGAGGCTGAGGCACAGAGAATCGCTTAAGCCCAAGAGTTTGAGGATACTGTGAGCTGTGACATCACAGCACTCTACCAGGAGCAACACTCATTTATTTATCTTTTATTTTTATTGTGACTCTGTCTCAATAAAAATAATAAATAAATAAAATCCAATTCTGTTATACATTAAATAAAAAACACTTGGACTGAGTTAGAATAAATAAAACACTGTGTTGGGAACGATGATGTTGGGTTCTATTAAAGTCCTCCCTGTTAAACATTGATCATCGCAACCATGAGCAACTAGGGCTGAACACTTCAGGCAAAGAATAAAAAGTAGTTGATATAAACAGAAATTCATTTCAACCAGGCCCTATGTATTCTGGAAGCACGGCCAGAGAGTTTACCCATCCCAACTACTAATGTTACCATTTGCCTCCTCTTTTCAGCCATCTGTAACATAAAGTTCTCTTCCCCCAACTCTGTCTTCCCTGACCGATGATGTCACATTTACTACTACCGTCCTTCCTGTGATGTCACACATAGTATAATAAGCTACCTTGAAAGAACATTTTTTATAGGACTCATTGGAATTTGTGGCTTTTGGTTTGGGTTCACATTACATAAGTCAATATTGACTCCCTTTCCTAGGACCAACCACGGCTGGAGGGATTAGGAGCAGTGTGGCAGGGACACCCTGAACTTTCCACCGCATGACGGCCCAGAGAATGTGTATCATTTAATTACAGAAGATTCTCTCTTCCAGGATGTAGTTAGGACACTTGACATTAGGCCCATTCATTTCAGTATACCCATTTTTGGCTGAAATAGAAGATAAATATACGAATGAGATTGACTTTAACAGTAAGTTCAAGGCTTGGAAGAAAAATTTACTAAGGGCTTACTGAAAGGCCATTAGCTACTGTTACCCTGCTACGGAGAAAGGCTGGGAGATTAAGAATAAAAAGGTTAAAGCCAAGTCACACATGGTTGAATAGCATCCAAATCCTTCACAATGCATGCCTCTTTTAGTATATTTATAGAACACAGGCTCTTTCTGAATACTTCCCAAAGGCTAAAAAAAAAAAACTAAAATAGTTAAGCTTCATTTGAAGTCATGGGCAGTGGGAAAGAGAATATCTAAATCAGTTAAAATGTTGAATTACAGAATTTAATCCTAAAAAGTACAGTCTTCAGAGCTTTTAATGAAATAGCGAAATAGCTTTTGAACACAGATCGTGTCTTCTTGATATAATTCAGCCATAATTTATGAACTGTGTGACAATGACTATTGTCAAATATTTTATTAAAATAAACTGGTCTCTATTCAGTTAAATAGTCATTCTTTAATCACGATCATCATAAGAGTGGCTAAGAAACCCTTTTCTTCATAATTTAAACTTTGTCTCATCCTGAATAGAAGTATCCTAAAAATAGAATGCATTCATTCATTTAACAAATAGGTCCTAGGCATCTGCAACAGCCAGGCATTAAAAAGATACACAGTCATCTGTGTATCTCTGTTTTTGAGGGGGGGGAGTCACAATTTGGGAGGATTATGCTTAAGGAGCCCTCATACAGGTGCTCAAACACATGGTCAAACAAAGTTACAGAAATGTGTGAATACCGTACCAGGAAAGGATAGAGGGGGAAAGGATGGCGAACTTCTCTCCCACTAGACTGTGAGTTTTCAACCTCAAGAACAATATGATTTCTACCCCTCCATCTCCAGTGCCTTATACAATGCCCTACGCATATGAGAGAGGCTAACTCTCCATGGAACAGTTGAGCTTTGTGGTAGAGATCAGTGATTCTCAACTACTGTGCCACGGGATGCTGGTGTGCCGTGAGAGGAACTTAGGTGCGCTGCAAAATTTTTAAAGATCATTAACTAAGTTAGTTTTGAAAGCACTTCAAAACAAAATGAGTATATTCTGTGTTTACTTTTCTAAATGTGCCATAGAAATTTAACTATAGATTCAAGCATGCTGTAAGATAAAAAAAAGTTTGAAAAATACCAGTATAGATGGTATTGAGCAAATGCTTGAAGAAAAGGAGTTGTCTAGGTAGAGGTAAATTTGTGGAAAGAAAAAAAAGCAAATGCAATGACAGAGAGACATGAGTAAAACTGAAAAATTCAAACCCC